TGTGCGTGCGGCTGGCCCCCGGCGCGCGGCTGAGACTGCGCGCCCTAGTGTGATGCGGACAGCCTCCTGCGTGGTTGCCCTTCTCGTTTACGTCTCACGACCGTCCCGCACGACCCATTTTACAGATGAGATCCGAAGTTACTTGTTCAATGTCACATGGCTGGGAGGTAGTGGAGCTTAGACTTACGTCCAGTCGAAAGACTTAGAGGCCTCGCCCCTGCGAGATGGGAAGCTTGAGGCTACCTGGCCCTGAACTGATGTCAGCTTTCTCAGTGCCTACGTATAAGATGCAGCGTGCAGGGTGTAAGGAAGCAATCTCGCGGACAGCTGACCGAAAGCCACTGCGCACTGGCTGCCCTGTGCAGTGTAAAGGACAACAGGCCAGGAGTCAGACCTGCATTTTAATCCCCACTTCCTACCTCGCTGGCTGTCTTCAGTGAGTGACTTAACCTTTCTGAGCCTCAGTTCCCTCTACTGAAAAATGGGTCATCAGGATGATGTGGGATGAGTGAAACAAAAGTGCGTTGGGAAGTGTAAAAGTTTCTCTTGACCTGGTTATTTTAAAGGAGGCCTGGTAGGAAGTACAATACATACCTTCCCAAATGTGAACCCCAGGGTCCCCAGCGCACATGCTGGGCAGTTGGGGAAGGTAGGTGACAGGGAAAGGTGGGGCTAGGTGTGACTATCTTTGAAATTTGAACCTTTCCCAACTTTCTCGTCTCCGGGCCTTTCAACACGCTGTTGCCTCTGTCCTTCCCCATTCTGTTTGCAGCAGTAATTCCTGGTCACCCTTTAGGTCTCAGTTCAGATATCTCTTCCTCCCGAAGACTTCCTCTTGCCTCCCCAGGCTGGCTTGGGTGACTTTCCTCTGTGTTCCCTGTTTCCTGGTCCTCCTTAACTGGACTTTGAGCTGTTACTAGAAAGAGCACAAGACACCATGTGCCTTAACTGCTCAGCTAAGGAGTTCAGACTTTAGACAGACCAAAATCAGAAAAGCTTCCTTTTGGAGTGTTGCAAAAAAGAATTTTAGCAAGATTCAGAGAAGAGTGGTATCAGGATGGATTGGGCAGGGAAGAAAGAGCTATGGGGAGGCTATAATGTTGCACCAGAACATGCCAATTTAGGAAATATTGGTTTTAGAATTAGAGGGTTTTAACAATAAAAGGCAACTCATGGGTTGTCTAGTTTGACTTCCTTATTTAACTGATAAGAAAAAAGGTTCAGAGGCACTGTGTGTTGCCAGAGGTAGCCAAGCAAGTCAGGGGGATTGCTGAGGCTACAGCCAGTCCCCTGAAACTCAGCGGGGCGCTCCACACTCAGGGGCTTGGGATTCCCCCATAATGGGAATCTCAGGTAGCATCATCTGGAGCCCTGTCCCCACAGCAGGTCCAGAATAGACGTTACTGATTAAGATATTTTTCTCCCAAGATTTTCTCTCAATGTGTATTTTAAACCTTTTGTTATGGTCTTTTCAAACATATACAAAGTAGAAAGAATTATGTAATAAATCGTCTCTTCCACAATCTTCAGTCTTTGGTATCTTGTTTCTTTTACATTCTCCACACACACACACACCTTTATCCAACTGCTGGAGAATTTTAAAGCGATCTCGGACGTAATAATTTTACTCAGAATATTTCAGTATGTATCTCTAATCTTTAAATCTTACTACACACATACATACCTACAGAGAATTATATATACACATATTTAATAAGAATTATATATACACAGTAGTTCTACAGAGTCACTGTGAACACTGAACCATTGCTCCTAGGGGAAATACAGGGTTAGGTTCCTGCCAGTCTCTGGCCACAACATTTTCATCAACCAATCAATACATAACTTTGTTTTATGTGTGTTTCTGTTTAAAGATAATTCATTTAACATTTGCTGTTGATTCATTAATATTGAACTCACAGCCAATAGCACTATAATGCACAATCCTGGGGCACAAAAGGGAGTCAACTGATTGATGTTTCTCTCGCTGTCTCTCTCTGTCTCTCTGTCTCTCTCCTCCCCTCTTTCTCTCTCTCTAAAATCAATAAACATATTCTTGGGTGAGGATTTTTAAAAATGTGACACTAAAGAGACTGATAAAAAGCATACTTGTTGCCCTAGTCGGGTTCACTGAGTGGTTAGAGCATCCACCCAGGGACTGAAAGGTCTGAGTTCGATTCCAGCCAAGGGCGTGCACCTTGGTTGCCTCGGAGGGCTTTACTTTAGTTGAGAACGTGCACCAATTTGCAAATGCAGAATCCACCAATAATGAGGATTGATTGTATATGTGTGTGTATATATATATCTCCCCATATTATTAGCACATCTGACAAAATAAAAAATAATATCATTTATCTGTGAAATGTTAAACAGAACTGCAGTGACCACCATTAGGACAATTTATTGGGGGTTAATAATATGTGCCGGCCACCTCGCATCCTATCTTATTTAATTCTTACCACAGCCTTGTGAAATAGGCGTTTTCACTTCTATTTCACAGTTGAGGTTCCCTCCCTCATCCAAGTTTTCAGAGCTAGGAAGTAGTGGAGACCAGACGAGGATCCAGATCCAGGGACTATGGGGCTGGCATTTATTTTAATCCATCACGCTGGCTACGAAAGGGCAGTGCATTGACAAAACAAAGCTTTAAATATGTAAATACAAAAATGACGCAAGTGTTGGGGGGAGGTCAGGGAAGCCTGGGATGGGTGGAAGGACCCAGGAGGCTTCCCGGAAGAGGTGGCCTTTGAGCTGAGCCTGGAAGGAGGCTCAGCCTCGGGAGCAGCGGAGAGGCCGAGGGCAGGCGGGGTGTGGGCACACGCTCCATGTGCCAGGCAGGTGTGGACTTTGAGGTCCCGGAGCCGGGAGGGGCTGACCCGGCGGGGCTGGAGGTCGGAGCCGCCGATAAGGCCGATAGGCGGGG